AAAACAATGTGACAAAATGTGAGTCTGCAGAATAGATAGATAAGAAATAATGTGATACATGAAAAAAAAACCAGAAATATACCCGTAGTCGAAAAAAGAATAATACTAGCACATATCGTAACTTATCAAAAGTCATGTTAACCATGCATACCATTTATTGAAAGCTATGTGCAAATGATTGTACAATACTTCACAATATTTTAATGTTAAAGTATAGGCAAATATTCTAAGTACATACGCGCATAATAAAAATTTTCATGTTACGTTTTTTTATTTACTAATTGCCAGCACCATACACTCTTTATCAACTTTTATATGTACTCACATGCAATACACTCTTAGATATGACCGCAAAAAATGGTTGTCAATACTGCGGGTGAACCGCATATAAACCCTAAACAATAATTATATCCTATTAGAAATTAGAATGTTCTCTTACATAATTTGTAATATTAAATTATAGGCACGATTATCAAAAGCAACGTATGACAGATTATTTAAATTTACTATTATATTTATTTAAATTTACTATTATATTTATTAACTTTTAGTATTAGCATTTAATTTGATTCAACCGATTAACATTTTCCAATGCCACTTTCTCAGCGAAAATTTTCTTCAAATTTAATCAATGAGAAAAAAATATTTCTAAGAAATGATATTGATTATAAAACTAATATGAGAAATAATCCTCTAATTTGTAACTTTGACGAGCTTCCTCATTGGTTGCAAGATAATGTTGATATTCTTACATGTATAAATTTCAAAAATTCATAGTGCAAAATTTTTATGATATTTGGTGAAATAAAATTTTAATGTAGTTTTTTAATTTATAGGCTATAGGAGACCAACTCATTCATATATAAAATGCTTACAATCATTATTTTATCTTCATAACGAAAGCGGTGCATATATAAATTAATTATTTATAAATTTTTAATAATACTTTGTTAACCAAGATTTATTTCTAAAAGTTAATATCTGGTCTCATCTTATTGGTGCTCTTACATTTATGATAATCTCGATTGCAACTTACTTCACTTTATTGGCCATCCCTACAATAACTATTTGGGATTTTGTCGTTCAATACAGTTTTTTATTGGGTGTATTAATGTGCCTAACCTTCTCTTCATTATTTCATTCTTTTATGTGTCATTCCGAAATGGTAGTTATATATTCAACAACTAAAAACATTTATATAATAAATACTATGATTTTGATATAATACCCTTATAATACTCATACACTATAATTATATTTTATAGGTTTGCGCGAACTGGAATAGATGTGATTATTGTGGAATAGTATTTTTAAGCGTGTAATTATTATTACTTGTATTTTATTATTTAATATTTCTTAATAATTGATCTGTTTTGAATTTATTTTAATAGTGGATCAATGATTCCAATTGCATACTATGGTAATTAATTCTGTAAACTTTTTTCTTCAACAATATAATTAATTCATAATATCGCTTTAATTTCAGCCTTTTACTGTAATAGAACGTTAAGAATAATTTATATCACATTAGTTAGCATCCTTGGAAGTGCAACGGTCTGTAAATTGAAATTACATGAATATCTTTTTATACAATAGTTACTTTATGTTCATGCCAATAATCCATTATTTTAATCTTAGATTTCTGTAGCCATTCCTATCCGATTCCGAACACCCGAATTTCGATGGTTTCGTACTATATTATTTCTCGCGTTAGGTTCGTATTGTACTTCATAATTATTAAGCATAATCTATTCGTGCTTTTATTTTATTTTATTTTATTTGAAATTTACTTAAAAACTCATTTCTTTCTCATTTCTCTTTTTTACAAAGGCGGCAGCGTATTCGTTCCAATCATCCATGCAGTTGTACTTTATGGGGTACATTTAAATCCTATTATTATCATAATTATCGTTTATCATTATTATTAAAATTAAAATTAAACACTATATGTTTTAGCTAAATATTTGTTATAATATTATTGCTTTCAAATGGATGCTAACAACTCTTCTTACTTATTTCGTGGGAGCAATTATTTATGGCGCAAGGTATTTATTTAACGAGCGTGTTATTTTATTTATAGACATTATTTACTGATGTTTAATTAATATACTAAATCTATATATGTTTTTTTTTTTTTTTTTTGTATTAAGAGTGCCTGAGAAGCTTTCTCCTGGGTCATTTGATATATTGGTGAGTTCAATTTATTATTTTATATATAATTGTACAAATATATTTAATCTTTTACTTGCAACAGGGGTCTTCACATCAAATTTTTCATACTTTTGTTGTTTTGGGATGTCTTTGTAATTATTATGGACTAATTAGTGCAATGACTTATTGGCATAAAAATAATAATTATTGTCAAATTGATGTTGAATTATTAAATTAATTTTCAAAAAATAATTAATCTTTATCAGTTACATGGCTTAATAAAAAAATAAAAATAAAGTATGATCTCCAAACAAATCAACCTTTGAAATGCCACAAATTTATCATGCATGTTTCAGATATATGAATAAAAATAATATAAATTTTACAGATAGTTGAAATTAACTGAGAAAGCCACCATTCCATCATTTTCACAATTTTTAGTCCAAATAGTTTCTTTAACAAAAAAAGTGACGTTTTCTTATTCGAATTTTATGATATTTATGCACAAATAATTTATCATTTGAAATAAATTTAATATTGTTAATGCTTATACGTTTTTCTGTTGTTTGCAATAATGAGTTATTAGAACTTATAAACATTATTTTATTTGATGTTTAAGGAATAATCCAATATTGAATAATTTGGACGACATACGTCTAAAATTTGTATATAATATACTAGGTAAAAACTCATTAACTTTGAAAAATTCTTCATCTCTTGAAGAGATATTACAGTTTATTCAAGACCATAAACTACTTACTTCCAAAGAAAAGATATATTGTATAGATCGCGTTTGTGAAAATGAGTGAAAAAAAAAAAAGATAGTTTAATGAACAAACAAAAATTTAATTGGCTAAATACAAAGTGCATACATTGTACTCATTGTATTCAATCATACCTTAGTAGCAAATTTTCTGAATGGACTTCTAGAGATAAAGAACTCGATGAAGATATTCAGTATTATCAGATTCGTACTAACTTAAATCAGGTTATTGAATGGGTGTCTTTCACAGATTTTAAAACGTAGAGTTTATAGCTCAAAGCGGATTTGGTAACATTTCGATACATAGGTCGATGGTCCGAGAATAAATTGGGATGGATACAAACAAAGATTCATATGAGATGGACCCAGGTGTGTTATTTTAAAGCCCATGAAAGGTTCAGATAATCGAGAAGAATTTTTTTAGAAAGGTTTGTATTTAATAAAATTTAGTGTAGCTGCTACAAATCAAATATCTTACATTAATTGTCGTATTTAATTTCTTCAGGCATTGACTCACACTCCATTCACTATGGAAATTCCTCTTATTGTTTCGTGTTATGGCTAACTAAAGTTCCAGAACAAAATAATTATATGATGGTATAAATTTTATCTAAGTGATGGAGATTTAAGATCATACTTAGATAATAAAGATATTAAATTAACATAGAAAAAGAGATATAAATACTTAAGTTTTCCTCACATTATTCATACTGGAGAATTTATACATAAAGATCTCCATCCTGGAAACATTTTCTAAAATGATAAAATCTGCTAGCTTGTTGGCAGTTTTGGCCTTGCTATAGAACAAGAATTTGATTTAACTGTTGAAATATTAGGAGTAATGCCTTATGTAGCTTAAATGTTTTACGTAGAGAAAAATATACACCAGCATCAGATACATATGGTTTTGGAATAATAGTGTGGCAACTTATTACTAGGTGTGATCTATTTCCAGGTCGAAAATATGACAATCAATTTGCAAAAGATATTGTCATAAATAATCTTCGACCTTCAATAATTCATTGACTTCTTTCCGATTTATAAAGAAATCATTGAAAATGGTGTGACTCTATTTCAAATCGTCCGGATGCTTTATATCTTTTTAACACTTTTGGAGCAAATTTTAAAAAAAATTTATGAAGGCGAATTTGATATACCAGATATTATATATATTGGACTTTCTAGTGATATTATCTCTAGAATTATAGATACAGGCATTTAATCTGTTGCTTTATTAAATCATATATTATTAAGAACATTTGTCTTGCGTGAAACTTCTTTATAAGCTTCAATAATAATATTCTAAGGTATTATGTATTTTTGGCTCTAAAAGCATCGTATATATTTTCTGGTACAATAAACCATAATTTGATTGTTGAATTCGGATTTTTTCTGTAGGCTTTTATATTTTTAACTATTTTGACTCGTTTATTTGCTTGATGGGATGTTTTTTCAGATACTATAATTTGAAAATATTGTCTGGCAAGATAATAAAATCTGCTGCACCAAAATTTCTTTTCATCAGCTGAATTATTATTGCTTCGTCATTATATTTTGAAAGTTGTTCTGCATTCCGAATATATTCTACGGTTATATTATTCTCTGTTATAGTTAATGTAGCTTTTTTTCCACACTAATACCAAAATTATAATTATTATTGAATTTTTTTTTTAATTGTTATAAAAAGTGATATAAGGCCTCACCTGTTCTCCTTGTATACACTTTGCTTCAAATTTTTGGTTGCCAACCCGAAAAAAATGAACAAGAGATTCGAACATAAATAATACCTCTGCTACTGGAAGGATCATTAGGATTTTGAATTTTCATTAAAAAGTTAACCTATCTGCTATCTGCTAGCTTTTGCTCGATTTTATTGAAAATATAATTAAAAGCCCAACGAAGAGTATGCTCTCGGTAAAAGTATCTGCCCTCTATGAATAAGACGGCTGCTAAATTTAACATAATTTGCATGTTCAGTGAGCATTGTAACATTATCAATTTTCTTTTATGGCATCTTCAATGCGTTCTAGGCATGATTTAATTATAAGATCATAATTCTTAGAATCATTTGGATTATAGTCAGAAATTAAGCGTGCTGGCCATTTAAGAACATACAGTATCTTGATATTCCACCTACTCTATCAATAAGATCAAGCATCAAATTTTGTGGCACTGTAGGAAATATTTTTTTGCAAATTAACAATTCTTCTATTGACAATGGTGGAACACAAAATCTGATCATAGGATCTTTGATAAGCTCTTGAAATTTATTACTTTGGATACTTTTTGGTGATACAGAAACTACTGTTCTTGCCTGAACATATTTCATAGGACCTGTACCATCAACCAGATACCATGTTTCAGGATGATTGTGTAAAAGATTATAAAAGTTAATATAGGTTCCAACAATGCTTTCAGAATTTTCTAAGCAATATTATAACTTGCCCTCAATTGGTTGAAAAATGATTTATATTGCAAAAGAGTCGAATCATCAAATAGAGCAGAAAACATGATTTACCGATACCTGTTGTGCCAGTTATTAGAAACTTTGAATTCTTCATTGTAATTATTAAATGATAAATGTCTTTATAAGACTGCCTTGCATATAATACTGGCATCTCAATTATAGCAAGAGATCTTCATCTACATCCTCTTCCTCTATTTCAGCATGATTTTGCATACTCTCTGGAAGTTGTTTGAGCTTTTTAAGATGGTGAACAACTTCTAATACATTTTCATATAATAAATCTAAAAATGTACCACATTAAGATGAGTTAAAATTTAACAAATATATTTTTCTTAAAGAAAATTTACTTTCTAAACTTTCAAATTTTTTGTTGTTTTATTACTACCAAAAAAGATTCGTAACTAAACTTATTAACAACACCGATGACAATAAAATAGTTAAATGTAGTAGCAATGCTTACACTATCCTAAAGATAACATGTATTTTGAATGATTTTGCTTAGTAAATATGACAGCTAAAGATGGGAATTAAACAATGGTCATAAAATTTAAATTTATAATAACTCCTGCTTTGATTATTTAAATTTTTCACAAATATCGCAATATTTAAAGCTGGCTCAAGTCTTAGACCAAGCGTTGATTGGAGAATATCTCTGTTTGCATAAAGAAGTGCTTGACCATTGAACAAACAATCCACAAATTTTTTGATTTCATCATCACTGAGAGAAAAGTTTCTTTGTTTAAACTTTAAAAATTCATGAACGGTTTCTACTGTCCAGTCTTGAATTGCTTCGTATGTAAATTACCTGCAGTAAAGTTAAAGGTGGACATCTTAATATACCGGTGTAAACTTCTTTTCTATAAAAAATATCTACATATTGACTTTGATATTATCTGCTATATTATATACTAATGATGTAATTGAATGAAAAAAAACCTGTTAGATGTTTCCAAAAATATTACACCTAGGAAAAGGTTACATATTCGACACCCAATTGCCATAGGAAGACTTTCGTATGATTGGCTGTTTAAATCAATTTAATTTTACATTATTTATACAGTTTAAAGTACTTT